GTACCTCTGGTGCAAATTACTGACCTCTGTCATCATTTTAGGTGGGGGAACTTGCACAATCGGTGGCTGACTAAATACTTTTTTGCCCCACTGTAAGTGAGAGGTTAGCACAGGCCACCCAGGGTGACTATTTCTGAGTAGATAAGAAGTCAGTTCAGCCACTTCTTTGTGTTTATGGCATCGTTTTTAGCCCGTGAAACCCAGTCTGCTGCAATGAAGCATGACATGCACAGCCGCAAGTCTCCCATATACAAACATATCCGAGGCGAATATGGTTTGCTGACAGACACATTACACTATTGTTTTATAGTGACAAAAAAACACAGGACAGTAGAAAACTGTGGAAAATTCAAGCACTGCATTGAAAATGTCCAACTAATTTTCCAGTGGATGTGTGAATGTTTTTTAAATCTCATCCCGCTTCCCTCTTAATCACCGACATTGCAGCACAAGATTTTACAAGGTAGTGTACAAACACTGCTCTACAAAGAGATAATTGTGTCATCAAGCGTCTATACTTTGCCCACTTTTATTGTTTATAGTCACATGTCTTATAGGAAGAATAAAAATAAGCCCCATGTATGCAGCTCACCCAAAAAGAAAGAAAAAACACAAAAAAACGGCTTTATACACTTAAATGTATAACTGCTGTGTAGTGAGTAAAGAAGTTTTAATAATGTGTCTGGATTGAGCATAAAAACAGTAACAAACTGTTCTGCTGTGGAATAATGAAAAATGTAAAAAAAAAAATTAACTTACAAATATGTTGCTGTTTTTTTATAATCACATGTTTAAATGTTCTTATTATGGTACACCATTTATCAATGTGCATTTCAGTCTCCATCCTTAACATTACATCAGCTCTTTGTCTTTCATCTTCCTCTCTCTCCCCTCCACTCCCTTGGCCTGGTTTCTATTTGTTAAACTCTAACACTATTGCCCTTTCCAGGACTCCTGAGGCGGAAGTCAAGGAGAAACCTAAGATGTTTTATTAAAGTCAGGCGTGCACACATAGGGCCATACCTCTATTCCCTCCCTGCCCTATGTCTCCGCCATTCATTCCCTTCACCTCATAACATGAAAGTAGGAATTTGCAATATTCTGGGAAATTCTTTATGTAGTGACAGGAATGGAAAAAAGTGGTGCTGACAAGTGTTTTGAACACAAGACAAGATTTTTATTTTTTTTAGATTAATTAATAAGGACGGTGCTCTGACCTGCTCCTCTCTTGATTCTCTGTTAACCTAAAGACACACTTTTATTTAACTGATCTCCCAGGACCAGTTAGAATGTTTCTAATGCTGTTTTATACAGATCACAGCACACTGTCTGGGAATTAGAATCTTATCTCTGACTTTTGTCTCTTGATGCCATACTGTATCTATGTGGGAAACTGGTTACTTTGCTAGTTTATGCCAAAGAGAACAAAACTGTTACACTTCATGTCCAATAAGAAATAAACACGGAAACGAAATTGAACAGCTTTACAAACCTGCAGGTCTGCATATACTAGTAATTTTAACTGGTGTTTGAACTTTTAGGTAAAAAAACAAAATAGCAAAAACATGTTTTCATACCCAAAGTTACTGGTGTGAGTAACATTTTGTGGTCATTTATCAAAGCAATATATCCATCCATCATTCAGTTTTTTTCTGCTTCTCCAGAGAGGTCACCAGTCTGCTGCAGGGCTAACTTTGTCTGGCATTACTTTGCTTTAGTCACCAAACCAGTACTAGTGTGAAAAAAAACAAACAAAACAAACAAAAGCTACAGACACAAACTACAATGCACACCCTAATGCATACAATTAAAAGATCTAAGCTGACAGCGTGCTCCACTGAACTATTCCTGCTATGACGGGCTTTTGTTCAGGAGGACGCCTTTATTTAAAGCCACTGCACTCCAGAGTCTGGAGCTTTCTTCGTGTGAAGTCAGTTGTTGTTTACAGAACATTATAGCTGCCTTTCAGTTCTTTAGGGTGCTACCTCTGACACACTTGCTAAGTGAATAGTGTGATGACAGGAGAGAAACAACTGGAATATGAATGGTTGGAGTATTACACTCTTTAAGCTAGCCTTTATAGGCTTTTATAGAATACGTTTGCAAATCCAAGTGTGTAGGTAATCTCGAGGCCTTGCGCTTGCCAACTAACCACTGTCAGGACATGCATGTTTACAGCCTCTGTGAATGTTCTAGAATAGAATAGAATAGAATAGAATAGAATAGAATAGAATAGCTCTTTATTGTGACTGTTACAAGAACAATGGAAGGCAGTTTGGTATCTCTCCGTGTGAAATACACAATAGCGTAAGCAAGTATTTACATAATAACACAGACAGATTTACATTTACACAAGACAGATATGTACAACTTATTCATACACCTGCATACATACAGATACACCCATACAAACATACACGATTACATATACACACACACATATATATATATATA